AGGTAATAGAGCCAAAGCATGCAGCTGTATTTTGTTTTGGTGTTGGAATGGTGTCAGACAACTCAAATGCCTCAATTTAAGTGTCTCATTTTTAGACACAAATAAGTGACTTAACTTTCAAAGGCAATGATCATCTACAGTATTGTAGGTCCTCATAGCTCTTCCTTACACCACCTGTGTTCAGACTTGTGTAATGTTGGTTACTCTGAGGTCCTATGGACCATGCAGCAGTTTGATTCAAATTGCTCTCTCTTGCTGAGTTTAGGCTTTTGTAGACAGTGTTTAATGACTTTCCTGTTTTCTAAGCACTGTTGAAAATACAGGTCTGTAGGAGTACCAGAAATTCTCAGTTATGTCCCTCTGAGAGAGTAAGAAAGCTTAGGTGATACATAGCTTCAGTATACTGAGAGGAATCACTCTGAAAGCGTTCATGTTAAGTACTGTTAAGTAGGTTTAACATTTGTCTTAGCCTCCTAACTTCTGTCTTTGTTCAAAAAACCTGTGGATGCCCACAGTTACATTGTCAGGAATAGAGGTGGCATACTCAGTTTGAGACAGGCAGGACAGCTGAAAGTCCTGACCCTGGTACTAGGAATTGACTCCCAGAGAGATTCCCTCTTGCTTTGCTAATTCATGGTCCTCAGTTTGACTTGGAGATCCCTTATAATCTATTATATTGCGTGATAGAGAGTCTTAGGGATGTCTGGAAATTACTTGGGGTTTATAAAAGGCTTTAACATTCTCTGGAGAAAAGTACTTTTAAAAATATATCCTACTGTTATTAGTTTACTTTAAACAATAAAAATATGTGTACATGTAGATGTGGCTTAGCTTGTTAAAAGATGCATAATTAGGGAGACAGATTTAGCATTCTGAGCAGGATTAATTAATCTACTGCCTCAGCTATCCAGAAGAAGATATCCCTTCCACCCCTAGCTTTGGGGTTTCTGTGGAATTCTGCTGCTGCTGTAGGAAGGACCGTCTTCTGCCTTTGTACACAATGTTATGTGAAACTGGACGTCTTTAGGCTGTCATGTTTGGATGCTGTCATCCTTGAGATCAAGGGTTGGAAGAATATCCAAAGGATTTCTTAAGCATACTTTCTTTCCACTGAAGTATATATTTTATGTTTGTGTACTGCCTAGGAAAATACTTTAGCATAAGAATAACATTTTCCAACCACTGTAGTATAATTGGGAACTCCTAATTCAATCTTTCTATAAGAACATCAGAGGAAAAAAAAAAACATGCTCAGTGTTGGGATAGACTAAAGAGAGGAGTAAAAAATGTGAATGCTATGACGGGCTTTGTCTTCTGGAAAAAGCAAATGCAAGAAGAAAAATGCTTCATATAACAGGAATCTTTTAAAGAAAATAATAATTTCCAAGTATCAGGAGACTACTGTTACAATGCTGGGGAGGGTAGAAATAGGAAAAAATTGTTTGTCACAGCACAAAGGAAAACAAATCAGAAATACAAATATTCTTGCATGTGATTAATTGGATTTTTGTACAGTTGTGGTTACACACACAGAACTATTTGTGAATAGAGTTCCGGAGTTGAGATATTTGAAATTTTAATATGCCAATGCATTTCTTTTCCCAACTCTTTTCACGCTGAAGTCATTGGGTGCATATACATTTGGGATTCAAAATGGTAATCAGGTTTCTGGCTAGTAGCTGATAGACTTGTATTGATACTAGGCGAAGCTGTTCAGTAGTTCTGTACTTTTCTGAATGTCAGTGACCTTAAAGGACATTATGAAGCAGCCTGAAATGGTTGTTGACTTCTAGGAGTCACCTACTGAATTGCTGCTTACATGTGGTGTAGCCAGGTGTGAAATCCTGCGCTCGCTTGTGTCCTCCAGGAGAGTTTGAAAGGTGAGTCTTAGAGCATCAGTGGTACTTAGGGAGAGGAAAAAGCAGAGGAAGGTGTAGCCCTAGCAGGTGATGCACTGACATGAAATGCATCCTGCATTTAATACTACTCTGTAACTTCTTTAATTTAAGTTTTATATCTTGACTGAACCCTTATGGAGATGTATTTCCACAGCACGTTATTGCAAAGTGCAAAACATCTTCAAAATCCATTGTCTTTAATAGAGTTAGAGGATACTCAGTACCTCCTATAACTGGCTCTTAAATTTGCCTTCTGCTTTGTGATTAATCTATCTAATCAGCCTTAATATCTACCTGTAGGTGGTGGCAGTATGAATGTCCTCTTGGTTTTTATGTGGCCATGAGGAAGAAGGAAAAGTAGAGAGAGTCTTCCAGAAATTACAGTCATTTGTAGGTACTGAAATAATGGCACACACGTTTTATTTCTGTTCTGTCTGGGTAACTCGGTAAATTGTGTATTGATTATGCTAATACATCTAGTGTCTCTATTACTTGTCTGCAGAAATTATTCAAACATGTAGATTGAAGATGCACTTGGCAAAGTTACCATCCTAAGAAAAAGGCTTTTGCACAAAGATGGTTTTAAATTGAATTACTAATTATATGCTAATGGAAATTTATAGATTAAGTATTGAATCACAGGAAATGCAAAGTGCAAGTTAAGAATGTATATTCTAAACTTCTTATCCTGACAGTTGCTATATTGGGTTTATTTTCACATCTCTCAAGGAATATGTTTCTGGAAGGGATAAATCAATAGCAATCTATTTTTATAGTTTATTTTGGGTTATGTGGCTTCTTCTGCTTTGTTTAACAAGCTGAAAACAGGCTAAGGCATTTGAGACAGTATTTTTTTTTTCTTTTTTAAAATTTATTAACCCATCTAGACTAGAAGAAAATGGACTTTTTTCAATTATCTTTTGCTTTTATTTTATTATGGTTTGTAATAGCTCAGAAGCCATAAATCTCAGCCAGAGTTCTCCAACAGGCTTCCCTTTCAGTGAAAATGCCCTTTTTCACATTTCTAATTTTATCCATGTCTTTTCCATACAAGGTTTTTCCCAGGCATCAAGCAGAAATGACTTGTGCTCTTTCCTAGGGTGCTAAATCTACAGATTAACTCTTCAGTGAAGAGGATCCTGGTTACTCAGGATGAATGAGATTTTACAAGCTAGAAAATCTGTATATTTTGTACTAACTTTATAAAATAATCTCCCTTCTTTATGGGCTAACCATATGTCCCATGAAGAGGCTAAGCAAAAGGGGTGAAATTCTCATTGATCAGCAGGTGTTGCTGTAGAGCAGTCGGGAGATAAATTCTATTTTTGGGACCTCTATGTCAAAATTCCCACAGGTTTTCCTCATTGGCTGTCCTTGATGGTACTACTTGATTTGTTGGTTATGGTTTGTTTTTGGTTTTTTCTCCCCCCTTTAAAAAGGAATAGTTGGTCTTAATTTTGACATTCAGCAGCCTAAGCATGAGAGGTGCTCTGAACTGAAACCAGGGTTTGCCTTGGACACTGGCTGTACCAAAGCTGAAATGTCCTAACCTTTCACACAGATAGAGCTTCAGTTCAGAGATACATTTTTTGCAGTAAAATTTAAAAAACGTATCTGTCCAAACCACAAGCTTTTATAATGGGAGACAGAACTGACATGCTGGAATTCTGTTTTCCCTTACTGAGTTTTTTTCTTTTCTTTTTTAATTGCTCTCAAGAAGTGTGGTGCCATAGATGTTGTGGTGATCTGGTCTTTTTTTCAAAATTTTATTATTTGTGTTTCCTGTTTGTTTTGATTTTCAAAAGTTGCACTGAGAAACTATATAATAAGGACTTGATGGTTTGTTGTTTTAAAGAACAGATAAGTCAATTGAGAAGTATTTCTACAGCTAACAAGGCAGGTGACCTGTGATCATAAACACAAAATTGTAGGGATGAGGAATGTTGCTTTCGTGGCAACATTATTTCAAATGTATCCAGAAGTGCTGTTCAGCAGTAACATCACTTATTCACAGTCTGGATTCGTAAACTACTGTTCTGGTTTCCTGAGGCCTCTCCTTTTAGTAGTATTCTATGATTTTGTTATCCAGAATTTATCTTACCTTATGCAAGGATGTGGTATATGCTGTAATGGGGATGACACCCCTATGTACAATTACAGTCCTAGAGTACTGGTAATTGTGGTGTTTGAATTAATAATAATGCATACATGCTACTGCTTTATCTGCATATCATCCCTGTGGCTTTTTTTAGTTAGATTTCATGCTAGTGCTAGAGAAATGGTTTTTGTTAGTAAATGTAAAGCATCTCACTATATAGGTTCTGTTTAAAGTTGCCTTCCTTTCCTGAAAGAAAATGGTAGAGTTGATGTTTAAGGGGGGTTAATGTTGGCTGCATGTCACCCTACCTTTTATAGTCAGGTGAGTTTAACGGTGGCCTGAGAGCTGAAATAGCACTGATGTTTTCAGAGTCGGGTTGTGGAAAGGCATGAAGTGCTAATTGGGAGTTTATCTGATGCTAGCAGCTGTAGCTTACTTAATGTAACAAGTATCCATGCTAGTTAGAGGAATAATCTAACTTAATGCAAAGGAAAATGAGATGCTGTTTTGTAGTTGATTTGTGCTAATGCTAAGATTTCCCTAATTCTGTAGGTTTTGTGGGACAGTTTTCTTATTCCTTTTACCATATTTCCCCCTAGATGCGGTTTTAATTTTCCTGGCAAATATGTCAGTCTAGTTGAATATTATTTGCAAGTCTTTGTGGGATGGCCTGTTGTGACCTGCTTGGTTCTGTTGTGACTGAGAATTCGTAAGGGGCTTTAACAACAGTTTAGAAAGATGCTAACCACAAAGTTACCTGCTCTCATGCTTGTTTCTTTTTTTTTTTTTTTTTTTTTTTTTTTTTTTTAGTGTAATAAAGACGTAGTGGTTATCCTTTGTTGAAAACAAACCTCAGCTCTCAGAATTTTTAGATCCTGAAATAGCAGGGAAGTTTTGAATGTTTGGTTTCACAAGGCATACACTGGCATGTTTTTGCATTACAAAATTGCATAAATGAAAACAATTTGTTATGCAATATCCATGTTTCTATTTTCCCTTTGAAGACCTGAAAATGTTTGATGTACCTCTCAGTCAGCAGTGTGAAGCTGAGCATGTTCTGGTGTGCAGTGGCTTCTCACTAGCAGTGACAGATTCTGGTACTGCAGCTGGTGGCCGTGGATGTTCAGTACAGAACAGCAGAAAAGATGAACTCTTGCATTTTAGCTTGGATACACTTACAAGTGGAGATGAGGTGTGCTTCAAACAAGCACATCTTTTTTACTTCTTAGCAGGCAGATGCTTTATTTTGAAGTTTCCCACTTGGGAATCTATTCTTGAGAAGTTCATGTTTGGGCACCTCAGTTCCATCTTGAAACTTTAAAAATGGTAAGAGTTTTAAAATTGCCTTTCTGGACTGAGTTGCGACGTGAGTTGTGGTTGAGGATTTAACTGGTAGATGATAGATAAGTCTTTACTTTTAATAAGGTTGATCAGTAGGTACTAGTGGCCAAGATGAGTTTCCTCTTCAGGGATGGAACAGTGGACTCATTTTCAGTTTTAGAGCTTCTTCCTGAGATAATTGTTTTGGAAAGAGACCAACAGCTGGTGGGTGAGCATAAACAGGGTCAGGTTGGGCTGCTGCAGAGAATCATAGAATCAAAAAATCCACATTTATTTGTCTGAAGCCCAGATATTGCATCATTCTGAGGTTTCCCTGGGAGCCTTGAGGGGGTTACAAAAGGCAGAATCTCTTTTTTTTTTTTTTTTTTTTTTTTTACTGTACGCTGCTTGTATTCATTATTTTTCTTGCTGTATTAATGAGTCTTACTAATCTATACTGCCCTAGCAAAAAATCTTTCTGTTTAGCTTAGTTTGTGTTTGACCATGTGTTTCCCGAAGCTCTGCTTTTCATGAGCTTTTCCCATTGCTTTCTTTGTCTGACCAGTTTCAGCTGTGAGGACTGCTGGGATGACTGCTTCAGCATAACAAAGAGAATCATACAGTATTATCACAGCTGAAGTACTGGTAACTTCATGGCTGCAAAATACAAATTCAACTGAAACAGTCAGCTCATAAAATCCTATTTTGTGAAATATTTGACTTCAGGGCTGGGGAAACTTTATCAGATCTCTGTTGATGAGAAGAGTGTGACTACTAGCCACACCTCTGCAACAGAGACAGAGATTGTTTAGAGTCCTCCAGAGATTGTACTTGACTCTTTCTAATGTATGCACTGTGTTTCAAGTTTCTGGTGTCCTAAGAGTGTCCTTATGAAAACTGGTGTTTTTTTTCTAGAAACTCAGATTCTAGAAACAACCAGTTGTATGAAGCCTTGGGGTTGGCGGAGGAGGAAAAGAGGTACCTGTGGAGTGTGTATATGTATCTCTTCTTTTGAATATATGTCTGGATTTATATGTGACCCTAAGTGTTGTACTCTCTTGTCCCAAGAACCAGGAAAAAACCCCACCAAATCTTTGGATTTTAACTCAGTTGCATGAAAATTTTTTGAGGTCTGAATTCTTGGGAGTGGAAGTGCTGTAGAAGTGCAGTCTTTCCCTTTTCAGCTTTTTCCCCTGTGGAGGGAGAATGAATTATTTTCTCTCCGCTGTTCTCTAACTCAAAGAACTCAGTCTTTGGGAGAATAAAAAGGAAATGGTTCTGCCTTTTAGCTCATCCCTTACTTTTACTTTGGGAGAGTCAATCATACTTAGGCATCATATCAGAGCATATGAGAACAGCTCTCTCTAATTTTTCAAAGTAGCAGCAGAGTGGCTCTTGTTACGTTCACTCTCGCCCAACAACTTTTGAATAGTGAATCTGACAAGAATTGTATTGTTTTTAGTTCTACTGCACTGGAAAGCTGTGAGCCAAGGGAAAGATGCTGGCGTGGTGTATACAGTAAAACAGCATGGGGTTAGTTCTCCTTTGCAAGGCTGTCTGCACTGCTGAGATGTTTGCTACTGAATATAGGTTTATTATTATTTTTTTAAAGCTCATGTATGAATTAGCACACACACACCTCTCCTGTCTGCCAGGAGAAGGTTTTCTCTTATCTGTGTGGAGCAAGAAGAATCTTAAAGCCCAGAATTATTCTCTCATTTAGTTCCATAATCAAATACAGTAAGAGTGCATTGAAGACAAATGTCCCAGAGGAAATCTAATTTGTTTTTTAAGCCATGAAACCAATTTGGTCACTCTGTTCTCAGATTTGTAGCTTCCATACAGCAACATATTCTGTTTTGGTCTGGTCTACACTTTCGCACTTTGCAGTGCAGCTTTTCTTGCCCGTGTTGTACAAGCATTGCTGGCTTTCAGAACCGAAGCTAGTGTAAAGATGCTTGAAACACTTCAGCTACCTACCTAACATCGTTTTTTTTGTTTTGTTTTTGTTTTGTTTACCTTTTTCTGACAGTAGAAGAAAGTGAAACAGAGGACCAGCAGGTCGGTGTGGGACACACAGCCGCACAGACTGGTAATGCTGAATTCCTTCATTGCTTACTGTTTGACAACAGTGTGAGGGATTTTTGTATTGGGGTGTTTTTGCACAGCCTGCCCTCTTCCTTCTCTGTTTCAGCTTACAATTCATTCTTGGGGCTTGCAATGGAAAATAACATTCCTCTCCCCTCACATTTCAATTCCAGAGAATTAGAAATTTTGCCTTTTGTAGGTCAGCCAGCTGAAAGTGAGATGCTTCTAAAGTGCAGTATGCTTTTCTTTTTTAATTTTCTTTTCTTTTTTTGTTAAAAATGATACTTCTCTACATCCCCCACACAAAATCTCACCCTATGCCATTTCAGATGAACTTGAATATTCATTCCACTTAAAACTATTTTCATATTTCTAAAGTGTGTGGATAAGGGTAATTTCTTTTAGGGTTGTTTGTATAATTTCTTACCAGTCAGGGATTAAGAGCTCCTTAATTTTAAGTCAGTGAGACTAGGTGGACAAAGCTGTTGTTTGAGTCAGGATCAGAGGGATATGTATTGTTAATAATCATGAAGAAATAATTGTTAATTCCCAATAACAATAAGGGCTCTTATATCTTATATTCTCTAATATGGTTCTGAGAGTGCAAGAAGTACTTCTCTCCTGTCTTTGGTACTGATTCCACAGAATTTTATCTGAAGAGCAGGACTGACTCATCTGAATAGTCTCATTCATTCAGCTGAGGTCACCTTTTGGAGTAAGGGCTGGCTCCTTACGGATATTCCTAGAAGGCTAGTCGTCTCTGAATACGTGTAGGTAATTTGTTTGAGAACAGTTGGAGTTATTCCTCTTATGAAGGTGAAGAATGCAGTTAATTTTTTGTTCAGCTAGAAGACTATATTTCTCTTGTGTTTGTGTCCTGTGGGTTGGTGTTTGGTGCCTTTTATAGGTTCTAGTGACTCTGCATATAAGCTATATTGTTTGAAAAGAGGAAATAAAGGAGAGAAACTTCTCTGCTTTTTTAATGGGAGATTTCTCAAACTCTTCTGAATGTGCTTATGTCTCCATTTAGCTATCTGCAAACTTGAAAAGAAGCAAACTTGTGCTGCTGTAGACATAGGAAGTTGAAAAATAAAGGACTGCAAAACTGGAGATCAACATGACAATGAATGGTTGCTTTTCTGAATTTTTTCTTAAAATAATTCTCAATGGTTAAGTTGTCTTTCTAGTTATTTGTTTCCCATCACGTCCTGTGTTGTTCATGCTCTGTTTCTAGGCAAGATCTAACATTCTGTTTTCTCTATAGCAAAAATGCAGTGCCGATAGGAAGAACAAAAAGCCTTCTGATAGAGCAAGCAGTACAGAAGGCCCACACTGTGTACACATTGCCAGAAGTTTTTATAGTAATACTTTGTATCTAAGCTCTGGCTCTAACCATTAAATGTGCTTTTTATAGAGTACCAAGTTATAAATGTAGTGCAGCTACGGCATATTAATCTTACTGCAGAGATTTAATGAGGCAGTTGTTTTGCGATGGACACTATTGGGAGCAGAGAGCGACAGAGTTTTACTTTACCACTGAGCTGAAGAAATATTCCTTGCCTGGTAATAATTATAACCACATGATCTAAGTTTTCCTTTCTTTTGCCAGCACTTTTCCATGCAGAAGTGGCTTGGAAGGAAGTCTACTGCAAGGCAATGAAATGGATTGGAAAGGAGGCTGTTTTCTTGGTAGTTTGATTGTTTTAGTTGTGATTAGCTATGGATCCTTGTAGCATGGGCAGAAAATTGTAAGATGAGTTTCAAGAATACAGATAGTCTTTGCCAGTCCACTGAGATGGCTTTTAGATATTCATTACTTTTACTTGACTTTTATATGGGTTATAAAAAGTAAATGTGGTGAAACGTAATTTTTACATGGACAGAAGAGAATTTCTGCTGGTTGGCCTTAAACCGCTCCCATACTTGAAATTAATTGAAGTCCATGGCTTTATTGCCTCCAACACTTTTAAGCCAATGCAATTTTTCATTTTCCCCAAAGTTGCAGTTTTATTATACCAAGTTACAGCAATAACATCCCTTATGAGGAGGAGGAGGAAAGGAAGGGGAGAACCACCTGCCAGGGAACATAGCAATGAGAAAATCATGCTTCTTTTAATTTCCATTTATAAATAATGTTAACATAATCAGTAACAGAAGACAACTGCTCTTTCTCTCTTTTTTTTTTAAGTACCTTAATAGGCTGAATATATTTCTGCTCCAAAAATGTAACCCTTCTTTCCACACTAGATAATTTTCAGTGATTTCTCAGATGGAACCAATGTGCGTATTGTTACGGATGTGTGTTGAAGAATTTTACTTGGTGCATGGCAGCCTCCAAAACAGGGCAGGGAAGTCTCTGGAAATTACAGTGGCATTTGCAGATGTTGGGAAAGGTAGTGTTACCATGATGACAATATTTGCTGAGGGAATTGTGACTGTGATTGTTGCAGATATTGAGGAGAAAGAAATGTGGCAGATGAATGACGTTTGCCCTGAAGTCTGTATGTGAACATGAGCTTTGAACGGGAGGTGAAGGAGAAGGTATAGACAAATGCATATTGCATTTATAAAATATGTTTTATTCTAGTCTTTCAAAAGATAGTCCAAATAAGGCAGCTTATCCTCAGTTTAAGTAACCGTTTAAGGTTAGACTAGCTCTTGATATTTGTTGTTGTAGCAGAAAAAGTATCTAATCACAAAGCATCCATATGATATTTTCTCTCTTTAAATATCCTTATTTTGGTGGTGACATCTCTTCACGGAAGCAGATCACGGTGGAAATGCATTCATTGAGAGGGGCTGAGTCTGCCAGAACTTATTTCACAAAGCTGTCGTAGGCTGAAGTCGAACCTAGGTCCCAGAGGGTCCCACTTAAGTGTTGACCTAAAAACAAATGTGCCAGTTGGCTAGAGCAGCATGTATTCTAAAGTTGCAGCAGAAGGGAATAAGCTTGACTGACTTCTGTCCCTGTAGAGTTTATATCTGCAAATGCAGAAGGAGAAAGAAAACATTTATTAGTCTTAACATGATTCTAATTTTAATAAGTAGTCTCTAAGTAGGAAGCTTTAAATTGAGTGATTCTTTAGGCTTTTGTGCACTTAAGGGGTGCATGCGTGCCTATGTGTGTGTGTATTGCTGCATTCCTGTAAAGTGCAAGTATTTCTGAATAATGTCTTGAGAATTCCCTCCCCTCCCTTTTCTTTCCTTCAGCATTGTACTTAAAGCAGAGTCAGACACTACCCTTATTTTAAAACAAACAGGTCTGTAAACTTTATGTGCAGCATTTAAATACTCATGTTAAGATTCAAATCCAGTGCCCACATTTCCCTGAGTGCTGTCAGTTTTAAGAGATGAAACTGGGAGCTTGAGCTGAACAACTAATAGTATGCGATGTGCACATGCTGCCTTCCAACAAGTATTTAATGATGTTGGGGTCAGTTTGCCACAGTTAAGACAATTATTTCTTTTTCTGAACTGTTTATAACCTGGTGAACTCCTAACTACTTTTATTGATTTTGCAAAATATCTTGAAAAATGAAGCGGTAATAGAAGTTGTTAGATTCAGCGCATTCAACAATGGCTAAAATGCCATAAAGTCCTTTTATTTAATTAGCATCCCTTTTTGGTGTGTAAATTTGCAGACTACTACTCTATTTGGAAGTAGCTGCCCAAGTGGAAGTTTTCACTCTTGAAAGAACCTTGTGAATGTAGTTTGTCATATAAGGATCACACTCAGTGTATAGGCAGGGCTTTTGGACAGCAAATATGTTTTTGCCTTCAGAATGTGTTTTTTATTTTTAAAAATTAATCTAGTTTCCCTCTGTAATGCAATTCCCTTAAAAATAAATTCTGCCCTTTACCCCTGTCAAAGAATTCCTCGGTTTTGATCATGAGCCACATATCACGAGGAGGACTTCCTGACATGGGTCATTTCCAGTTTCTGCCTGTGGGTCTGTCTGTGTTTGAACAGTTGAAGGGCAGGGTGCAGCAGTGTGGACCAAAGGATGCAGAAAAATTATGAGAGCCCTGACCTTCGTTGTGGGTAGCAAGATTGCCTGTGCTTTATGCACAGTGGCAAATACAGGGGTGGCTGTGCTCACATCACTGTAGGGTGCTGAGAGAGGATTTAAGAGTGGCTTAAATGATGATCTTTAAGGTCCTTTCCAACCCAAAACATTCTATGATTCTATAAAGTGGAACCACCCTCCACCTCCTCCTCCCCCCTTCCTCATTCTGATGTGAATTTAGTGTTAGCATGTTTTAATTTCTTTCCTTTCAAGTAGTTGTGCCTGATCCTAATAAAATGCAACGCTAAATAAAGTGTGTTCACGGATGCCACCTCTGTGTTGCTGTGGACAAGAAGCCTGCTCCTGGTTAGTCACCTACTTGGCTAAAGAGCATAACATCTTAAAATGTACTTGCACAATCTCCTGTTGTTATGTGATTTTGTCATTGTTTTGTAAAATTACTTGTTTCAGTCTTAGCTCTCTCAAATATCTAAAAGGAAAGATGAGGCAGCCAAAGCAGAAAAAGGAAAAGTGGTGAAACATTTGCATTCCTTCTGCTGGAATGTACGCAACCATTTTTCTTCAGCATTTCACTTGTTGTACTGTGGTTCCCAAGCAAAAACAAAGTTAAGTGCCAGCTTGCTTTATTAGAGGAGACAGATTGTTTTATTTCTGTCTTTTGAAGGAAGCTTTTAGTAAAGTGGGCAAAAAGTCAGGAGTAGTTAAAGCTACTCCACTCCTCCTCAGAGGAAGAGGAAAAGTTCTAGACTTTGCATTATCTTACTCTGCGCTGGTCTTCTGCAGAATGGAGGTAGCGCAAGCGAGCTGGGTGGCTTCTCTGCACAAAGGGGATGGAGGGGAGACCACACATTTCTTCCAGTTTAGAAGCTTCAACTGGACTCAAGACTGCTGTTCTGAGGCTAGAGCTATCCCACTATCCCCCAAATGCTTGTTAACATGTCAAATAGACCAATCTCTCCTTGTGCACTATTTAGGTTTTACAATAGTTAGTTTCCAGTTTTCCATGATCTGGCAAATACAGGAACTTTTTCAGGTTTATTTTGAGTCATGCACAAGTTCAAAGCGTGTGTAGCATTTTGACCCAGGGGATAATGTTTCCAGGGCTTGCTTTGTGTCAAATAGTGTGGTGATGGAGTATTGGAGTGGGTTGTAAAATCAAGATTTAATTTCATGTTTATGTAAATTAAATTTGGTAGTCTCTTAATTCTGGTAATTTCCTGTGAAATGCTGTAGTTAACAGTGAAAAGAAGTTCCTGCACACTCATTGATTTGATTTTTCTTTTCATTGAAAACTAATTGCATAGGTGGTTTATCCTTTCTTACAATGATCAAAGCAGCTTCAATAGCGATAAAATGGAGAAACCTAACATTGAAGCATGGAAGAATTGCTTGAGTGAGAAATAGAGCTGCGTTTGTGGGAGTAGAAAGGAAACTCTCCTTTCATCGAGATTCGAAAAAAATTAAGGAAAAAGCCTCCTTTGCTTATTTAGCAATAAAATCTACAGTGCGTTGCAGGTTCACGCCAGATTTCTTTCTTTTCATCATTACCACTAGAATCTATCTGGATTTTTTTATTCTTTTTAAAGGTTCCTTCCTTACATGCCTGACATCATGGTCTTGATTTTCTTTCAGACCCTAACTGTAAACTAGAAGACAAGGCAGAAGATGGAGAAGTGCTAGACTGTAAGAAAAGGCTGGATGAAGGGGAGGAGTTAGAAGAAGAAGCTGTGCACAGCTGTGACAGCTGCCTCCAGGTGTTTGAGTCACTGAGTGATATCACAGAACACAAGATTAATCAATGTCAACTGACAGGTAAACAATACTTATCACTTCATGGCTTCTTGCACTGTTCTGATTCCCATCCTCTGCTTCTAATCTCCCTTCTCCTTTCTCAGTTATTTTAGTGCTGCACTTGAATGCTTGGGCAAGACTTTTATAAACAGATTCTAGGACAGGATTATACTGTAAATTGGGCACTATAAATTTCCTTCATACCAAAGGATGTATGGATAATTACTGCATTGTCACTGTATTTAAAGTGTTCATTAGCTGGCTGTGCCTGGCTGCTGCATGTATTTTCTAGATTCATACTGTACAGTTTTCCATACATTGCTTATACACGTATTTTTCTAAATCACTTGTGAACACATAGGTTATTTGTAAGTGGGGTTTAAATGCAGCTGCATAATGGATGAATTTGCACAAGAGCACATTGGAGATCTGGGCTAGGTGTTGCATTACTCTAATCTATTAACTACCAGTAACCATACAGTAATCAGTAACTGAAAGTTGAGAAGAATTAGGCAAATTGTTAAAGGGAAAATAAAATCCCAGCTTTAGTCAAGGGGCAGAACTGAGTGCTGATCAGATACTACTGAGTTGAGCTGGGTGAACGGACCTGTAGCTAACCTGGGTTCCTCTTTGAAATGATTTACAGACAGCCCCCTCATCTAGGAAACCACAAAAAATCTGCTGAAGTACTTTTGCCCTTTAGATTTAGTAGGTCTTTTGATGGTATGCACTGTAGGTCCAAATACATTCAATATCAACAGAAATGAGTTTTTATTTTTTATTGGATGGTTCTTTAGTTTTAGCCTCTACAGTGTAAAATGTGTTTATTGTGCAGTGCCGTTATGTTAAAAACCTTTATTTATTATGACTTTGTAAACAAGGAAAGCCATCCTTCCCATTTCAGAATGTTTTTAGAAAGTGTGCATGTGCTTGTGTTTGGAGATCTTTCTGAGTTATTTTTGGTTCCAGTAGATCCATAGGCTAAGTCCTGGCAGGATGACATAAAAGTCAAGTAGCAGTACTGCTCTTGAGGATGGAGTGTGAAAAGGTGAGCAGAAGAGGAAAAAGACATCAGGAGCAGAAAGAAAGTTGAGGAAGTAATGTGAATTTGTCAAATGGTTTTAATCCTAACTTAAAATTATGGAAGATGAAAATCTGTTGCAGCAATAAATGTTTATTTTTATGAATTTGTTGCTTTGCCTTTTCTTACCTGTAAAATGTTTTTCTGACTTCAGATAGTCAGTTCTGCCATTCCATAATCACTCCCTACAAAATTTTAGAATGTATTTGTTTATATTGCTTATGGTTTCTGGCAGTATGGATATTATCTCTTGATTTTAAAAAACTTAGTTTTTCTCTCCTTTTCTTCATACCTCTCTTCTTTCTTTTGCTCTTTCTGTGTTGAAAAATTGTTGGATTTAACTTGTCTCTTCCTTCCCTCTCCCAGAAAGCATTCCCCCTGCCCTGATCCTCTGGATCTCCCCTTTACTGCCCCAGATCCCACTTATTCATTCCTGGTTTTTTTTACTTTGATCTCATATGGCTGTTTCTCCTTTCTAGTTAGTTAGTTTCTGCCCACCCCCCTTCTACCAATTGCTTTAAAGCTGCAAGCAGAATGCACTGAACAGTGCTTGCACAGTTGGGTTAAGAAACTGAAGAAAAGCAGGTGGGGAAGCAGTAAATAGGAAGAGTGCCGGAGCACTGCTACTGAACACAGCAGTTCTTGTTGAGAGTTGTGTTGCTAAATGAGAGAGAAAACAAGTATGCTGGATTAAGTATGCAGTTTGGAGTGTAAAGGCAGGAATATATGTATGATGACAGAAGGTGGAGGAATGAAAATGAATCGTGAAGGAAATTCTCTTAAGTTCCTAAAAATACCTTTGCCTCTCTTTCAAGGAAACTTGTAACAGTGAGTAGGCAGAGATCAGGCTGTTTGAAAGACAATGAAGTGAATAAAAACCTAAAGTTCACATCCTTCTGGACTATCAGATTGACAAAAAAACCAGCTGTCCTCTGTTTCTAGATATAAATAACCAAAATACACCCTTAAGTTGAGAGAGGGGCCTGGATGGAATGGCCAGAGTTGAGGATTTCTTCTTGCTCCAGCAAAAAAATACTAAACAGGTGGTTAGCGAGGTGGCGTCAGTGCAGGGGCCTAAGCTGCATGTATGGCCTAACACTAAGGATACAACATTTAGGAAAACCTCGTAATTTTAGATTATTTTTGGTTAATCAGTGACAAACAGTTGACTGACAAGGAGCTTACCTTTCTCTTCTTAAGCACAATATATATTTGACAAAAATTAGCTTTTAACATTTTAGGCAAGCTCCCTGGGCTCTTGCCTTTCTCTTGGACTTCCACCAATGCCTTTGGGTGCCATGCTCAGATTCAAAGTTTTCAAAGAAAGTATTACCATGGAGGGGTGATTGCACCTCCCTTTTTCATCACAATCTTCTGATACAACAGGGTGTTACACAACTGCTCTGTTTGTCTCCTTTTGGAGGAGTCCCAATGAAACCTAAGGTATTTGTCACTAAGTCGTTAATGAAAGGCAAGAGGTTTACCAAAATTGAATTTTTTCTACTATATTCTGTTGTTTGGGTCAACTGTGTTCTCTCTAGAGGAGGGCAGAGTGTATCATCTATCCTGATGTATGATCTTTTCAGTCTGGGACTCAGATATTGAAGACTTACCTAAGTTGTCCGTTATGTAAAAATGCCAGGGCTGTCAGCCTCTGAAGTTCACATTTGAGTTCTGAAGCCCTCCAAACCCTGATTTTTCAGATGGCTGAGCCAGCTGCAGCTTGTCTGGATTTTACAGAGCTTTGGAAGCGCTCTGTGGGATGCATAGGGAGCTGCAGTGCAAGAATTTATAAACTGTGCATGTTGACCCAGTTGTAGGGTCATTTTCCATCCAGTTATACTGGATAAAATTTACAATTACGTTGATGGAACAAACAGGATGGCAAAATCATGGCTTGAGACAACCCTTTAATAGAACCTGAGTTTGAAACATGAGAACTGAGTGTCACAGTGTCTTGACTGCCCCTAATTCTACCAACCTTAAAACATGCTTGAGAATGGGGCTTGCCACTGTAGGTTCTCAGATTGATACTGGGGCTTCTAGGTTTTGCATTTGAATGTTAGATGTCTTCTTCTGAAGCTTTGACACTTGAGTGGAAGGAGTAAAATTGCTTTATTGAATTTTCATTCTGCACTCTCAAACAAAGACAGGAATGGGGAGAAGGGAGATGATTTATTAAACAGCGGTCCCAGTCTTTCAAAGTGTCAGTCACCCCCACTTATTCAGAGGATAGTGGAAGATGAGAGTTACTTTCAGCTCTGTGAGATTTAGCTCTCAGGATCTTGAATTGCTGTTCTCTTGCAGATTATTTTAAAGGAGGAGAAAAAATTTCTCCCCGACTGGTTCCTTCCTGTAATCTGTTGTTTGAATTGAAGTTGTGTTATTTTTCTAGAGGAGGGCATAGCTGCTCTTTTATCCTAATGTGTGCGCTCTTGATCTTTTCAATTTGGGTCTGATCCAATATCCATTGAAGTCAATGAAAAGATTCCTGTTGACTTCAATGGGGGATGGAACAAGCCCTTCGTGAGCTATTTAGTAATATTTTTTGCTATCATCTGGAATTCTTGTAGTGAAGCTTTCTCTGAAAAGGTGATGATTTATTTATATTAATTACTGACAATTCCTGTCATGTTTGTGGGATACAGATAATGGATAAACAGGGGAAAAAGTAAAAAAAAAAATTCTTTGCAGTACTTGTAACCATGGGCAGATGAGATGCTGAGCTATTTTAATTTAGTCATTACAAAAGGTTGGCAATACAAATGTGGATTTAATAGTGTTTGTCTCTGATGTTAATGCTTTTCTCACTCTATCCTTCCTGCAGCATTTCCATTTAATAACTCATGAGCCCCTTGCGCATTGTCATCCTCTAAGTTGTGTATGTAAGTAAAGGATCCAATTAGCATGACCATAAAGTTGATGTCCTTCTAGAATATGTCAGTTTGGATCTCACTGTAGGAACGTGTGTGCAGGATCACGTGTGGTGCACTACTGATAAACCCTCAACTACACCTTCTCTCCTTCTGGCAGTAGGAAAAGAAACTTAACCTTTTGCAGTGCTGCCATATATGCTGTTGATGGGGCACAATTTGTCAGACAGTCTCCCTAATCTTGTCCTGCTTGATTTATAATCTCTTCTCCCTCTGCAGTGCTTTGTACTGTTTATTTCACCTTTCAGTCCAAACCCTCAGGGATCGTACCCTTATGAAGTCTCCCCTGTATACATGAGAAGTGCCTCTCTGCTGGCTGACTCTCTGTTCAGAGGCATTCAGCTTGAGCTTGGTTCTCTTGAAGATCCTTTAGGTCTCTTTGGCACCAGAAATCTCAGTCATAACCAGAATAATACCAGAAAAAGGAGCATCCTGTGGTGTTGCCTTGCTTGCAGTCAAACATGCAGTTAACATGCCAGTCTAGTTAGCTGACTTGTTGAATAGCTCAACAGCAATGGAGGTGCTGGTACACAAGACTGCCATCCTCCACCTGAACGTCAGTAGACCTAATGTGTGTTACATGACTTCCCTACTAGCCCCATTGGCATCATAGGCTGTAAAACTTGTTTGAAAGCAGGCTCCTGAATCATATCCTAGCTTCCAGGCTAAGAGTGTTCAGAGGTAAAAGACATGAGGTATTTCTCCATTGGGGGTATTTATTTTACCTTTAGGTGATTAGGTAGACTTAGTTTTATGCTTTGGGCTCTAGCTTAGTGCTAGAGCTTTGACAGGTTGAGTAAGTATGTCAGGTAGAACTGAGAGCCATTCATGTTATCCCCTAAGTTGTTTCTGATGTTGAAAAGGTTACTGGCTATAGCTGCATGTCCCCTGCCAATGAGGAGATGCAGTCCTGCTCTCTAGCCCTGCTCAGAGACTCCATTTCCATGCCATCTGAAAATAATTCCGGCAGCACTGGAGTATTCACTGGGAACTTCTATCAAAGTCAG